TGTTCTGAGAACATGAAAAACTACAAGTTTTGGTGCTCAAACTCAAAGCTGGAAATGATAGGTAGCAGAGCTCACAACTGTCATGTAAAGCAGACTAGAAATAGTTTTCCTAAAATACTAAGACAGTGTCATGTATCTGGATCTCATTCTTCCCTACCTAAATAAGTCAGAATGCACCTGTTTGCTCCATCTTAATTCTCAGGTTAATTTTTCTGATTGTCAGAAAGTTACTGTAGGAAAATCTGGAAGTTGCTTGCCAGGACCATACTTTGGGGACCATGTGACCTGAACTGTAGTAGCTTGGACTACCTTATAGCTTTGCAGAACAGAGTAATACAAACTTCTACTATCATAAGGGTTAAGGGGATGTGTTATTTAGTGTTCTTTGCCCTGCATTTCCTTGCTTTGGGAAGAAAACAGGGAGGGTAAGATTTTCAAATGGGGGGAAAACAATTGTAAGGTTGTCTTAGTGACAGAAGGAGGAGCTTCTTGTGCTAGAGGAATAGAGATAGATATCTTTTCTTGCCTTTTGCTTTGGACTTACATACGTGAGAATAGCAAATGGGGGCCAGTCCTCATAGATACCTTAATGTCTTTTCTTTGAGCCTTTGTACTTTGACATTTGAAAGAAAACCCTTTCTTTCCCAAACTTCTGGGCCATTTCTACAAGTTACTTGTGCTTTGTCCTCTGAATCAAAAAGTCCAACATTGCAGACTTGAATAACAACTGGACAAAGATACAAAAAAAGTCACCAAATCTCACAGTGTCTTCCATCATAAATTGCTATAGCTGATTTCTCACACATTTTCTTACTTCACCAATAACTGCACGTTGCTTAAAAAGAAGAAATCTTATTTCCATCTATGACACACAGAAATGCAGTGTGAATGCATTTTTTCATGGGCTCCAAATAAACGTATTGTCCACACCACTACAGCTTCTTATTTTGAAGGCACAGTGCTACAGTTTTAAAAAAAGGTAAAGCAAGCAAAAAACCCACTTAAAATTGAAGCATAACTTAAATATTGGCTTTTATTAAGATAGATATTGATTATGTAAGATCTTGGCAAAAATACCTAAATGATTTGTCAGAGAGGGAATGTGTCTAGGTGTATATAATTGCTTCCACATTTTTTCCTTTTTTTAGAAAATACTTTTTACATGTTTGCAAGATTAACTCCCACTCAGTGGCTGGTGAAGTGCTTTATTTTTTTAAGCAACATAATGAGCAGCTAGTGAGGTTTTCCCAGCTGCCAAAGGGTTTCTCGGAGTTACAGTGACTGTCATGTTACTGTCAAGCTATCATGGACTAAGATGGTTTTAAAGTGTGTTCGGTGGGTTCATGAGTAGCTGGTTTTTTGAATGCTATAGAAATGCTAGCTGTTTCCTACAATACAAAGACATAAAAGGTGAAATGCAACTCAATCTGTTTGGCTGTGCACAGTAATCATGAGTGTGAGGTCATGAGGAACTGCTGTTTTCCCAAGAGGATTGCATCATTTAGCTTAAGACTGAATTTCTGCCTGAGATGACACACCCAAGATCTTTGTAGGGTCCTCCATAGAAGAGTAGCCCTCTTGGCCTCTGCCAGAGTTATGAGGTGGATGATATGGAAACAATCATCTAATCAAGATGCTTTTGTAGTTCATCACTAATAGACATTTTTGGGAGGCAGTGAAGTTTGGAAATGTAATGTGAATCTTTCACTGTAGTACAGAACACTAATGGCTCCAAATGAAGACAAAGCTGCTGTTCATTGATTATTGAAAGTGCTATATAGAGAAGTTTGGAGAAGTAGGTTTTGGATATGTCAAACGAACCCATTTCTGGAGATGCTGAGATTAGACATTCAGTGTTTAAGTATCATCTGTAAAATTTGATTTTCTCACCTTGAAAGATGTTATACCCCCTGTTTTCAAGAGCACTTGAATGTATGTCATGTAGAAGCCTTCAGAACAATAAGAAGTTTGCTGTATTAAAGTTTAAGGCTGTATGTTTCATGATTGGTTATCCATGAGACTCTGAGGGGGAAAAACAAATGTTTGATCACAGAATGCATCTAGTGCTTCCTAGTGTCAAACCCTTTGTTCTACAGAGCTGCTGGCATTAATTATATGTGTGACTTACCTATGGTATGCACAATTTTTTCTTTTTAATATATAACTCATTTAGCAGTAAGTAGATCATTGCCCATTTTGCAAGGAAAGAGAATAATCCACAGGCCATAAAAGTTGAGCCACTGTTAAATAGCTTTCAATTAGTACTGCTTTGTAGAATATATGTGAAACTTGTTCTAGTAGAATGCTGTAAAGTGTTTCAAAGTGATCACTGGAGTTGACAAAAGAGACATAAATACCTACAAAGAGTAAATTTAGAGAAAATAGGTACATAAGCTTGTGCAGCTTATTTGTGAGTTTATTTCCCACTCAGTACTGTGTAGATTTGAAGTAGAAACAGAACCTGTATATACCCTGTAGGTTTAGATAGGTTTCCTGACACCTCTGCTGTATTGGGATTGTTATGTTTGGATGCATGAGCCATGGAGCAAGCAATGAATCTTTAATACTAATCTCACTTCTTAGTAATAGCAGTCTTTGCATTTCAGTAGTCATTCTGGTCTAATTTTGGTGCTACCTTTCTGTTACTACATTGATCTTCTGTGTTCTGTACCATTGCATGTAAGATTCTAAATCACATACTTCACCATGCACCAGTTTGGCTCTCAGTGCTTCCACTGTCAATGAGATTTCTAGCAATCTGTTTACTACATTCTTTTCAATAGGCTGATCACTATAATGAGTCCAGCTGTGCTTTCTATTCCAAGGTAGCTTCTTAAAAACAATTATCTTCCTTGTGGAATGCTAGTATCTCCTCTTTATTTTTTTTCCCTACTAAAATTTCCTTGGAATGAATTTTCTGTTTATCGAGTTTAGTTCTCTTAAGGGTGTTTGCATTTTCATAGACACATACAGAACTGAAAACATCTAAATCTGAGATACTGAGAGCTTTTCATATTAATCTGCTTTTGCTAATCTATTCCAAAGTACATTTAACATCAAGAGACTGATCTGTGTGTTTCAAAATTTTCATCCTAAGAACCAATGTTAACTTTTTAACTTCATGGAATGATAAGGTATCACATCAGTATTTACTTACTGTTTAACTGTGTCCCTGGGTGCAGCGGTGCATGCAACATGCATTTTCAGAGTGGGAAGCCTCTTACTTTTCCTGGTTATTTGGGCAAATGGGGTGCACAAAAATAAGCAATTTTGCTGTTTTAGTCTTGATTATTTTAGAAGCTTTCTTTAACTGCCAGCGTCTAAAAGCAGAGAAAAGCGACTTTTCCAATAATACTCTTATTTGGCAGACCATATGGATAAAATTATTTTTGGAAAGAGTTTAAGTAGAAAATAAATAGATGACACACCAGCTTTAGTAGATTATGCAGTACAATGATTATACAAATTATTTCTTCACAGAAAGTGGAAATGTGTTTGGGAATGACTTAACATACAGCAACAGATAAGTAACGTAAATAAAATACACATTTGACTGCAGAAAGTGTCTAAAGCTACTTATAGAACCTCCGTGGAGTTACACTGATTAAAAGAATATATGTTTAGAGAAAACATCTAATGCAGGAAGTCAATTTTCCTGCTGTTGAAAAGTTAGCCTTATTAAGTACTCTTTAAAACCCAGTTCTGACTTAATGATACACTAATTAGAGCATTATATTGCTTTTTTTATTCTTGTCCAAAATCAGAGCAGTCTTCTTTGTGGTTTTCAACATACATTTTGTTTATAAGTAATATCATTCTTATTCATGGTTTTTGTTTGTGGTACCTAGTATTTGGAAGGAGAGGTGTCAAGCAAACTTTAGTTCCTTAATTCTTATACCTTTGTTTTTCACAGACTATTGTCTGACTTGATGGATTTGTAGTGTAGTAAGTGCATATACCTATGTCTCCTGACTGGCAGTCAAATGTCACAAATGGTGGTGGTGTTATACAAGCATGACCTACCTGTGCCATGTTGTGAAAAGACTGAAAAAAATGTTTTGTTTTTTTCAATCAGTAATATGAAATCCAGTCTAAAGTATTAGGTTTTTTTAATAAGGTGCATATACTTACTTGGTCATATGGTTGGGTTTTTTTCCTTCTCTGTTTCCTAAATTGAGAAAATGAGAAAGAAATTATTAATGTTCAGTACTGAATATGAGAAAGTTAAGCAAATTAGCATGGGGGAAAGAGAACAGTAAAGTAATGGATGGTGCACCTCTCCTATGAGGAAAGTCTGAAAAGTTCGGTTTGTTCAGCCTGGAGAATGCTTTGGAGTGACCTAATTGCAACCTTCCACTACCTGAGAGCCTACAGGAAATCTGGAGAGGGACTTCTTACAAGAGCATGTAGTGATAGGACAGAGGGAAATGGCTTCACACTGAAAGAGAGTAGATTTAGGTTAGATTATGGAAAAAAAGTCTTTACTGGGAGGCTGGTAAGGCACTGGAACAGGTTGCCCAGATGGGTGGTCGATGCCCTGTCGCTAGAGGTGTTTAGGACAGACTAGATGGAGCTCTGAGCAGCCTGGTCTAGTGACAGGTGTCCCTGACTGTGGCAGGGAGATAGAAACGGGATGATCTTTAAGGTCCCTTCCAACCCAGGCCATTCTGTGATTGTAAGAACGGAAAGACCTTTGTTGTAGTTCTGTGGTTTTTTATAGGATGTTGGTAACTTAAGTTGATAATAAGTAAAATATATCCAATTCTGAGTAGCAGACAGCTTGTTTGGCATCATACCACCATTCTGACAATAAGAAATACACTTTTCAGTGTTTTATCCTGGAAAGAGAATGCATTCTACTGTCAGAATCAGTGACAAGTATTTGCTTTGTGGGACACTGCAGAAAACACACTGACAATACAGCTAGTCATAAGTGAAGTAAACAGCATGTTCCTGGATCACAAAGCCCATTTCAGTTACATGTTTTTCTGTATGTTCAGTGACGAACAAGAAACCAGCTCAAGCATCTATTACGAAGGTGAAGCAATTTGAAGGCTCCACGTCATTTGTCAGGAGGACGCAGTGGATGCTCGAGCAGCTTCGCCAGGTCAACGGTATCGACCCTAACCGGGTGAGTTTGAACAGCTTTCTAGAAAATGGACACTGAGCTCTTATGTAACTGATTTCTGAGCCAGGCATTCTTTCTATTGAAAAGGCATCTGGAAATAGAAGATATGGGTTTAAGTGCAAATTCTCAAAAAAGAAATGACTAAGTGGAATATGTGAAGTAAATTTTAATGGGAAACATAGGAGGAGGCTAAAACTCAGTCATATGGATCTTTTCTTCTTGTCTTTCCATACTTTTCTTACTACTTTTGCTTTGTAAAGAGCAGAGTAAGAGCCTTGTTTGCTTCAGCTTTAAGCCTCTTGGGGTCTGCTTTGGCATGCAGCTGTGCTGTGTGATAGAGCAATAGGTAGAAGTAAATACTGAAGAGGTTGCTGAGATTCAAGTTTGTGAAATGTTGTGAATCCTGCATTTTTTCTAGGACAATCCTCAGATATTTTGGTATTCCTTGTCTTATGCTAGAAAATGTGATAATGTCCTTTAGCTGCAAATGCCAAGTGAACAGATTTAAACAAAAAAATTACCAAAAATAAAGCAAATCAACCCTCTATTAAATAGCTGTGGAATTATTCCTTTAATTTGGACTATACAGCTCCCCTTGCTATTGCAGGACAAAATTGTACTAATATGTGTTAGGCTTATGAATACAATACTCCAGTGCTAAAACAACCTAATTGAAAGTTAAAAATGTGTCTCATAATATGTGCTCACAAAGTGATTTAGTGTTCTTTTTGTAGCAAAATATTTTTGTGACTAACTCCCTTAGTTTCTTCAAAGTTGTACTCTGATCAGCTACCTGAATATCTTAACTATGGTGCACCAAATTCTGTCATTACCCAAGTGTTGGTTAGTACCTAAGTGCCTAGTACCAAGACTATTTACTACCTGAAGATTTGGTACAAAAAAGAAGCCCTTGGCCACTGCCCTATGACAGGCAAGGAGTAGAATTATATTTTCTCTGGGCAAAGGAACTATAAAAACAAGTGAAATGACAAATAGATAAGGGATAAGAGTTTTAAGCCCTTTTACAGCATTTGCTATGCAGCTATATACATAACAGATTTAAAGTCCTACCTTAAGCTTAGAAATGTTTCTTTCAAACTTATCTCCCTCTGAATTCCTAGTGTCATCAGTTAGGAAAGAACATGTACTAGATGAGATTGCAAAACAATGTGTCACAAATATTAAATATATAGCACGACTTCTTGCATAAAATCCTTTTATTTTGGCAACAGAATATGGTGTAGAGCTGCAGTGTGATTTGTTCTGGGAGTGGCCTTTTGCTCATGTTATCTTGTGTCCTTTGCAACACGTCATGAAAATGCATTAAATGCAATAACTAGGACTTGTTATTTGCTTAGGACTTAGCTTATTTGTTCAGTTGAGCACGGAGAGCAGAGCCACATCTTCTGTAACATACTGTGACCATCGATTTTGTGTTGAGAGGCAAAAATGCTTGAATAATATAGAAGACAAATAACTATATATCTGAAGATAGCAAGGGTTTCTTATGAGAATTTGGCTTTTAATGTTTTGATCTAAATTATTTTTGTTTTCAGTTATTTTTGATAGAGTTGATTATTCCTCATTAAAAATAACTGTAAGAAAAAAAACTTACTTCCTATTTGGTCTTTTTCATTCAAAAATATGAAGTAAGACCAGGATGGTTATTAGTTGCATGACCTTTCTGCTTTTTGCAACACAGTACATTTTAAAAAATATCTTTTTCCAAATCATTTTTAAAACTGGAATAATAACAGTCTGATTTTTTTTCTTTCTTTTAGGATTCCCCAGAATTTGATTTACTATTTGAAAATGCATTTGACCAATGGGTAGCAAACACAGCTTCAGAAAAATGCACATTCTTTCAGGTTCTACATCACACTTGTCAGCGATACCTTACAGACAAGAAGCCAGAATTTATCAACTGCCAGTCTAAAATTATGGGAGGTAAGTGAATCAAAGCTTAATATTTTGCAGTTGGACATAGAATTATTTGTATGTGATTTATTCTGTATTTAGATGAGTTTGAAGCCTAATGATGTCTTGAAATCACGGGGGTGAATCTGCTAACTTAGCAGTAAATTGGGCTTCAGCATTTCTCCATCAAGCACCACTTCACACTCTTCTATTACCTTTTCATTCCTTTCATTTTAGCTACTGAAACTGATAATAGATACAGACAACTTTGTCAATCAATAGTTTTCTTCTAGTGTCTTCTCAAATCAAGAAAAGATACGCGAAATTTCTTGTGTCTTCTCTCATTCTTTCCTTTTCCACATTAATAGGATTTCCTTTGTTTTTATTGGTGTGGTGGTGAGGGGGGAACTGCATTAATGTGTGAATATATACCCTACAGTTTTACTAATTTTTATGTGAAGTCTCATGTCGATTATCTGTTTGCTAATGTTTCTCACTTCCATCCTTCCTGCAACTAAGTTGTTATTAATAAACCACAACACATTTTGCCTTTGAACTTGCTATTCTCCTAAGCTTGACTTGTCCAAAATTGAGTTCCCGATTCAACTTCAGCATAAAGTTATTAACTTTGTGCTAAACAAGTGTCATCACAGTGGAAAAAATTGCCACTGAGGTTCATAAATACACGCTTAACTTCTGCTTCTTCAACACATGCTAGACCCTACCATGTCCCATGAAGCACACCCACATTCTCCCTTTGACAACTTCCTAGATAAAGTGGGAGGATTCAGTACTCCTCTGGTAGCAGATGGTGACCATTTCCATATTCCTTGTGTGTCATTCTGACTGGGCACAAGTCCAGTCTGTGTGTGTACACACACAGTACTGCATATAGACATTGTATAATTAATAAATCTTCTCATGGATACAGTGCTTTTGCTGTTCTTCACACTATCAACTTTTTCCTCACACTGGGTGATACACTCCCTGTGAGTAGGTTTAAATTTGACAGAATCTGTAAGAACTGTAAACCAAGTAATAGTTGACCCTAAATTTCAGTGACTTGCTGTGTGTCAGCCTCACTAAGCCAGCTGTTTTCATCAAAACCCATTTAGTCCAAACCCTGAAATACTAAGAGGTATTTTCTGGAAAATATGTTGAAATGTGTTTTCAAGCTGAAATTCCTGACCAGAGAAAGTAAGGCCCAAATGTAGCTAAGCACCAAAGAAGATACACCTGAGAACATAGCTTGAAATTTATTCTATATAGTTGAGAATGTGTAACATGGATTTTTTGTTGTTATTGTTATGTTGGTGTATTTTGCTAACTTGTCAAAGTGGTATATTCAAATCATACTTAATTCTTAGTGCATTCAGAGATCAAGATGAGGCTTGTCACGTCATCCTCTAAACCAAGGTATCCATAACATTTTAAGTGATATTCTTGTGAACTTTCTGGGGATGTGTAAAGTAATAATTTTTTTGGGGTGGCTAGACAGTTTAACTTCTAATACTCTACAAAATTTTTAAGAAATAAACTATTGGAATATATATATGCATGCATCCACATGTTTTTTTAAGTCATTATATTGATATGCCCATTATATGTGTAATGTATATCTTGTAGCTAAGGCATATTTTCAAAAATTAAAAAAAAAAAATTGCCATCAAAGAACACGTTTTCCTAAATGGAACTGAAGATGAAAGAACTTGAAAGGCTTTCTTACAAGCCTACTTATCTTACTGAACCTTATTCCTTCCTAAAGGATAAGAGTGAAGAAAGTGAAATTCATGCTGCTCCTGTTTCTGCAGGAAGTGCTTAAGAGGTTAGCTTTAAGTAAATAAGGGTATTCCTGTGCAACTCCAGACCCTCTTCATGGCCTTCCTCCTTTTACTTTCTTTCCCTCCCACACACCCTTCCCCCTATAGACCAGAGCCCTGCCACTGACTCTCCTTCTGCAGAATCATTTTTTGCCTTATTTTCATTTGCATGTCTGCAGATTTAAATAGGCTAGACTGTTTTCTGAAACTTGATTAATGACATCAGTACTTGCAGCAGTAATGATAACTGACTGAAGGTGTGGGTGCTAGTTCTGAGAATAAAGAACAAATTCAAGTTTAGGCAGACTGTAACAAGATTCCTCCTACTGGTGTCTTATACTAATTTTCCCCTTATGTGCCTAAATAACATACAGGTTCTGATACTGGAGTGTGTCTAATTTGGAGTATCTTTGTGTTATGTTGTCATTGGTGGCTGTGTTAGTCAGGTTGTATTGCTTTTACATTAGTTACTATAAAAAGCAAAGTTGGAGATGGCTAGTGTGCAGAAATTTCATCACTTAGAGGTTGTGTTCATTGGAATAGCTTGATTCTTGACATAACATTAAACTGACATTGAGGATGCATTTGACTCTCATTTCTGGATAGAACCTTGAGATACAGCATTTGAAGCTCTTCAGAGATTAACTCTAGGTCTGTAATAAAGAACAAACATTTGCTGCCACCTTTAGATGCATATTAGAAATGCATTTGGTTTTAAGCTTTGTCCTACCTGTATGCTTTGGTATTTAACAGTTGTTCTGCTGAATTAGTCAAAATATTCTTGGAAACCCAAAATGATGGCATCTTTACCTCTGTAGCCTTTTCTGTAGGACACGCTGCAGGAGCTACTAATAAATCACTGTTTTTCCTCCAAGAATAAAATGCCAGTGTGAGAATGGTAATGAGTACTTTTTCCATACAATATTAGTCATCTTGGCTTACCACATTTGAGACCTGCTAAGCACGTAGTGGTGTTTACCATAGTGAACAAGCTTAATGACTGACTAAAGGAGATGAACAAAAAATTGTGTTAGGAATTGCCCCGAACATCCTGATCTGGTGCGTGGCATCCCTGTCCATGGTGGGGGTTTGGAAATAGATCATCTTTAAGGTCCCTTCCTACCCAGGCCATTTTATGATTCTGTGAATTAGGATGAGAAAAAAGACAATTGTTGTCCTCTCTCCTGTCAGATACCTGGTAGTTGGTTGGTTGTTTCAGTTCGTACCTAATAGACATTGAAAAAAGTGCATATTTGAACATACTACTCTTGCAGAAATTCACTTGTAAATTAAATCTGATGGAATTAGTTTGACCCCCCCAAAAAAAAAAAAAAAAAAAACAACAGCAACGAAGATGAACTATCTGCAATATCTACTGTTTTGGTGGTGTTTTGCTGGTTTGAAATGACCAATGAAATTCAGCCATGTTCCCATAGAGAAACAAATCTTTTTGCAGTTTATTTAGATATTTCTTGCCAACGTATACCAAATACTCAGTTATTGTTATTCTAGAGATTAAAATATTAGAAACTCATTTTCTGCTGCCAAAGACCATATTGGATGCTTGCTTTTATGCCCTGCATATTCATGTCAAGATTAATTTTGCTTTGCAGTTTTACTTAACTATATGTGTTTCAGTGATCTTAAACATAAAAGCCATGCATTGAGGTTAGAATGGATAAGAGTAGTTGAGATCTTTTTCTGTAGAAATTTGGCATATAATCAGAGCTCTAAATTAACTTCTAAAAAGGGCATCTTGTAAAAAAAAAAATAAAGGTACATCATGTTCTTTCAAAATCTGTAGGGATACATAAATTGAGAAGGGACATTTATCATTACAAAGGTTGGTTCCTTTTTCTGATCTGTAAAGCTTTGAGACAAGGTAATGTAGAAAGTATTATACAACATATTTGCTTGACTTTCTGAAGATTGGAGGTCTAAATGCAGTGTTATCTTCAAGATGCAGAATATTGCTGTTTGCCATATAAATAAGATTTTTTTTTCCAATCTAGTTGTTAGATTTTGGTGTTTACAAAGCCAGACTGAAGCTCTGTGCTTTGTTATAGTTACTGGTTCTGAAAGTGCCTGGTTGGTTAAACTGTCATTTAGTATAGATCCTAATTATTATTGAAAATATTGCTTACTTAAGTTAGCATTAATTGTATAAATTTATTAGATTAGAATTTGAAGTTTTACAAGTTTAAATACATTTTTCAGTTTGGAAAGCAGGTAAAGGCTGTTAATATGAAATTGATCCTAGTTAGGTATTTCCTTAATGTATAACTAATACACATGATACAGTAACAACCTGTCCTGCCATCAATGCCAGAAAGTAGAAAAATTAATGGGAGAAGATAAGATTTTTTTGTAAGGCATTTGTGACCTGTCCATTCAGCTCTTAATCCTTGTTCTGTATATTCTCCAGAACCGCTAGAAAAGGAAAACAGAATTGCTTTTCTGTTTCTTTTAAAGAAGGAAAAAAAACAGTCCTGGGTGACAAAACCCAGGTCTGTCTGTAATGAAATCTGTAAAAAAGAAAATTATTTTCTAATTTCAGTAATCTGACTAAACTTTAAATTTGAATTCTGTATTGATGTAGCAAGGTGGAGACATCACCATTCTGTGGTGATGTTGAACCCTAGAAGAATCTCAAAGTGTTTGAATGTAGTTGGCTTGGAAAACTATAAATAACAACCTTTTTTTTTTTTTAAATTTGAACATTTATTAGCATTAAGACCAGATTATGACCAAAATAAATAAAGTATAAAGAAAATTGAAAAGTCTTTATCCATGAAAATTCTACCTATGACAAGTAAAACTAGCCTGGCTCCCATGTTGTGTGACAGGGAATGAATGCTAGAGATCACATCTTCCAGCTATACAGTTAAGATGAAATACTACTGCCTGGACTCATAAACCAATGATGATACTGATAAAAAGTTTGCAACATTTTTCAAATGCTCTTTGCAAGTGGCTGGTATTTGCTGTGCTTTCCTGTAGGAAGTTGATGATAAGTATGCTGAATGTTGATGTTTTTCTTCTTTACTCATCCACTGGTTTTAGCACACCTGATTTATGGCACACTCAGTTAGTTTGTCAGTCCTGTCAGCCCACCTCAAGGACTTCTTGAGATGCTTCTTACCCAGAGGCACAAATTATCTTGAATGTAGTTTATGATCATAGTGGCAGAGCTATTCACTGTCAGTTTTA